ATAAGTAGAAAAAACAAATTTTAAACAGAAAACAAAGTTTTTAATGACAGAATAGTGAATATATAAAGGGAAAAAAATTAAACTAGAAAAACCTCTGGGGTCGTAAGTGAACCAGAAAGCGTGAAATAGCAAACAAAAAATCAAAAATAAATAAAGATGAAACAACTAAACAATGAAAGTCTCAGTTTCTGATGAGAGACAAATAAGAGCAGAATATAATACCACTTGCTGTGAGAATATAGTGAAAAACTTATCATTGACAAAGGATTTGGCATTCATATGAATGAAACAAGCTTCCAAGGAGCAGGAGTAGAAAGAATTTCGACATTATCAGTTTCAATATAACCAAAATTCTGTCCAATCTTATTTATTTTGCCTTTTTTCGTTGGAAGCCTTGTCTTTTATGCTTCAAATCAATTTTTTCTTTGTTTTCGTCAAACGAGTCTTGAAAATCGGCGTCTATTTTGAGCGTTCAAAACATATGAGCTTTTACTACGTTCATGAATTTTTTAATCAAATATAGTTTTTACATTATCAGGAACATAATAGCATTAGTAATGGTAAAATAGTTCATTTTAAGCCCTTCAAACTTAAATAAAAACGACTAGACGCATAGTTTAAAACTTACTTGATAGTATAAAAACTTCATTTGTTTCAAAGTATGAGCGTGTATGAAAGTTGCGGGTGAAATGAAATGAATGTTATAAAGTTTCAATCGTTCAAAAATTTCGATTTAATTTCGATAATACCAAAATTTTTGCCACCCCTGTCACATCAGTTTACCTTGATGTCCTGGAATCTTGTTTCATTCATATGAATGACATTCCTTGATCAAGGACATGAGTTCCTCCTCACCTATTCATAGCTCATTGATATGCAACCTGCTCAGATTTGTCTCACGATCGCCGCAGATACAAATCTTTCTATTTTCCTCATTCCCATCTAGCAGCTCTTGAGAATGGGTGCCTATTTTTTTAGTGCTCGAAGAATGTTAAAATTTACAACTTTCATATTTTAAAAGTAATTGAAATTTTTACGTTATCAAGTAAAAAGTATAACATTAAAGCCCTGAACAAAAAATCAGATCGAAATGACATAATTTCATGAAAATACCTAACGGTTAAAAACATCATAGACCAACTTCGCACTTTATGAAGATTACAACAAATTCAGGCAATATTGTACATGATTGTCAGATTAAATTGTCTAAATTTTATAAAAATGTGCAATAGTTTACAGCTTGCGATCTTTAAACACTATAACACGTTCATGCAATATTGTGCATAATTCACAGGTCATAATATCATAAAAATGTTTCATAGTTAATAAAACTAATTTTAACTATTCCTCAAGCATATGCATTTAAACTACTTTAAATTGAATAAAATCTATTATTCAATCTGTAAAGAACACTTTTATCAAATTATGAGATATTTATTTTATTTCAAAATTTTCTTTATTTAGTTTCTATTGTTAGCCTCAAAAGATGTCACATCTTAAATTCATTCAAATAAATTATTCATATAATTAAATTTTAATCTGAATTTCTAATCTACATTTTCAAACATTTCTGGAACAACATTTTTACTTTTACGAAATTATAATATCATGAACTTTACGTTAACCAAATTTTAGAGTGTTGTAAATTTTAACACATCTTCACTCAACGAGTTTTGAGATACTTCTACAAACTACGCTATGCGTTTCCATAATTAAATTTATAATGTATATAAAATCTGGGATGCTTACAAAGATGCATTTCCTCCAGCTACTTGTTATACAAAGACGAATAATTTACGCTAGTCTATGTTATTCTAAACTACTAAAATTTTATCCACGTAGGATTTCATTTAAATTTATCTTTTGGCAGATTTAAAATAATTTTTGTAATAATACATTCTATAGATCCCTGAACAAAATTATTTTATTCTAGTATTGATTAAAATATAGAAAAAAGTTTCTCAAAAATAAGATGGATTGCAATTACTTTAGGTAATGAGATTTCTAGTAACAAAAAAAAAGGTTTAGAATATTATTATAGTTTGTATGTATAAACATAATGAAATGTTTCCTTGTTCAATTATAAAAAATTTAGTTGGGTTTGAAATTTACTTATCTCCCTTTCAAGGATGTTCCATAAACAGTGAAAATGAATTTTTTATAGTGTTCCTGAAATGTTTCGCTCCATTAAAAGAATTAATTACGTTATAAAAGCTCATGGTTGTACCACATTTGCATTTGAGGCTTCAATCACTATAGTTACTTAAATACGGTGTGTAAGTAATAATATAATTTATGTTGTTAGGCATACGGCTTAAATCTGAAAAAAATAGTACTTTGCTTAAATGAACATAATAGAATATTTCCTTGTTAGGTTATAAAAAGTTTTATCAGTAGTAAAAATTGATGAAAGGAAGAAAGATTTGATTGATGAAATTGAATTGATGAAGGATTTGTTTCAGTTCCGCAAACAATAAGTGATTTTTTTGGTGTGTTTCTGAAATGTTTATCTAAATTGAAAGAAACATTAATATAATATAAGGTGATAGCTGTACCAATATCCAGTGTAATCCTTGGGTCGGGCAATGTTGACTCAGCCTTTCATCCCTTCAGTGGGTCGATAAATGAATACCAAGCATGCTGGGGAACTAAACACTGGGGGTTTCGCGTTCGGTTGACCACCTAACCTGAACATCTGCTCCTGCACTCCAGAGCCCAAGGTCAAGAAAACTGAGATGGGCACAGTAGGCAGTGGCCCTCTAAGTGCTGTTGCGCCACTGAGTTTAGTTTAGTTGTACCAAATTATATTGTGGCTTCAATTGCTATAGTTAATCACTTACATGAAATTATTTATGTTTTTAGTACATGACTAAAACTGAAAAATATTACTTTGCTTACATAAACGTAATAAATATATTCTTATGTTACGAAACATTTAATCAGTTTTGAAAATTGTAGGACTGATTTTGGTTCCTTGAAGGAAGGAAAGGTTCAGTATAGTTCCGCAAACAGCCAAAATGCCTTTTTTCCTACTATGTTTTTAAAATGGTTCGCTTTTTTAAAGAAGACAATAATATAATATAAGGTAAAGGTTGCTTCAAATTAATGTGCGGCTTCAATCGCTATCGTTAATTACATAGTTATTTTATAACCGTCGTTGAACAGTCGACCCAATTTTGAATTTATGACTACCAATGCTCAACTCCGGAGCCTTGAAATTTTTATCCAATCTGGAAAACAAGGTAACTAAAGGATCCAGTATTGGGAGAAATTTTTCCTTCTTGGAGGACTTTTTAATTCAACTAACCGCATTTCCGTTATATAGAGAGGAAAACCACAAAAACATACCACGGTTAGCCTGACGGCAAGGGGACTTTAAACCATGATCCATCTACTACTGAGGACATTTTAAGTCAGCAATGTGGTCGATGTGAGCAGGGTGCGGAATTCGACCAGCCATCGCTCTAGGATTCAAGCCCTGGTTATTACATCGGAAGACGAACGCGTGGGAGGTTTTTCGTGGTTTTCCTCTCCATGTAATGGAAATGCGGGTTAGTTCAATCAAAAAAGTCCTTTACGAAGGCAAATTTCACGTAATACTTGATCCAGGATTCCCCTTGTCTTCTAGTTCGGGCTCAAAATTACAAGGCTACTGAGTTGAGTCCCACGGGTTCGAATCCCATCGATAGCTGTTTGATACGAATTCCGCAACTGCCTCTCACCGGCACCAGTGCTGACATAAAATCTCTTCAGTGGTAGACGGATCATGGCTTATGGTCCCTTTGCCGTCAGGCTAGCCTGAGTGGTTTTCGTGGTTTTCCTCTCCATTTAGCACAAATGCGGTTAGTTCCATCAAAAAGTCCACCACGACGACAAATTTCTCCCATTACTTGATCCAGGAATTTCCTTGTCTTTTGGATAGGGTTCAAAACTACAGGGATACGGAGTTGAACATCATTAGTCAAACCAAAAATGGGGTCGGCTGATCAACGACGGTTATAAATTTGTTTTTAGGTATACTATGTCAAACTTTCCTGCCTCTCTGTTGATGATTAGTAAAGTAAAAAAATTCTGTTACTTTGTAAAATAAAATAAGTACCTAAAATAGACAAAAGAAGTCTTTTTGACCATGATAGGAAAATTGTTCATTTTTGAAGTTTTATGTCTGTTTTTGATTTTGCAGAAGTGCCAAAATTCTGAAGATAAATCGTAGAACAGAAATTAGAATCCACCGAGTTAAAAAAATATTGCGCGCAACAGTTTCATTTTTTGGAAAAATTATGCAGTATCTTAGATTCTATTATCGAAGTAGCTTAGTCGAGTTCCTACTGAATAATAGTTTCGTTATTAAGTCTGAAAGAAACCATATGCATGCTAATTATAAACGGCTATATTCTTTTTATTCCTGGACAAGAAAGTATTGTTAAGGATTAATTATTGTCACGCAAATAATAATAGAAATTTTTTATTTTGCGTTCGAGTCGCATAACGTTTGTTTCAATTGATATAAAATCCAAAGAAAAAGACATTTTTTTTAATCACTATTTTTATTTATGCAAGCTGAAGAACTGGCAAATGAGTTACAAGCTGGGAAAAGTATAGTTTCCGAATTATCAAATCACACCTAAATTCAGAAGGCATAGTGGTATTACTTTCTTTTGCCTCCATAAAACTTGCAAACGAATGTTTTTCGTAAATAAAGATAAAAAACCTACATTACAGGGATACTATATTTGAACAAAATAAAATTTCCACCTAATTACACTGTCACTTCTTGTCATTACATTCATGTTTTGAAATTCAAAACTGTATACTTTCTTTATAGATACAAAACCAAAATAATACTATAATTCTGAACAGCATTCAAGCGAATGTGTTTGAAAAGGAAAGTACAAAGTAGAAGCCAAAAACTGATACTGTACAATAATACGAAATGCGATGTAGGCTTAAGAGACTAGATGATAAGAAATTATTCTACAAGTAGTGAAACTTATAGGTGTCTAGTATTTCTTTACAATGTTTGCGATATTGCTGTTCCTAATGCTTGAATTATTTTCAGGGATTCTATTACCACCCAAATTACTCTTTGCAAATCCATTCTTGTGTTCGTTTAAGTACTTTAAGCTAGTAAATTCAGTTCCTAAAATATAGGAAATAGTATGTTTTTTAACATTTCGAGGCACAGAACATAACGAATACTAATAATAAGAAATGCTGGAAAACAATTTGTCAATGTTTTATTGTCACTTTCACGTCACGCGGATATACTGTCTGCGTCTACGATAATGCGTAACTAATGATGGAACTTAACATTTTAAAACATGCCATTTATATTTACGTAATTTGTTTGGCTGCGTATTATTTGCTCACTGGCGAACAAATTATATATATATGCATTATATTGCAATATTGTCATTGAGTTAATAAGAAAAAGCCAAAGGAAATTAAAACGTAAAAAAACTCTTCGCTTATCGTCACTTCACTCTTCACGTCACTTTCACGTCACTTTCACGTCACGCAGGTATACTGTCTGCGTCTACGCTAATGCGTAACTAATGATGGAACTTAACATTTTAAAACATGCCATTTATATTCACGTAATTTGTTTAGTTGCGTATTACTTGCTCACTAGCGAACAAATTATATATATGCATTATATTGCAATGTTGTCATTGAGTTAATAAAAAAAAAAGCTGAAAGAAATTAAAATGTAAAAAACTCTTCACTTCACGTCACTTTCACGTCACGCGGGTATACTGTCTGAGTCTACGCTAATGCGTAACTAATGATGGAACTTAACATTTCAAAGCATGTCATTTATATTCACGTAATTTGTTTAGTTTCGTATTACTTGCTCACTAGCGAACAAATTATATATATGCATTGTATTGCAATATTGTCATTGAGTTAATAAAAAAAAAAGCTAAAAGAAATTAAAATGTAAAAAACTCTTCACTTCACGTCACTTTCACGTCACGCGGGTATACGGCCAGCGTCTATGCTAATGCGTAACTAATGATGGAACTTAACATTTTAAAACATGCTATTTATATTCACGTAATTTGTTTAGTTGCGTATTATTTGCTCACTAGTGAATGAATTATATATATACATTATATTACAATATTGTCATTGAGTTAAAAAGAAAAGCTAAAAAAAATTAAAATCTAAAAACTCTTACATATTGTATTTTTAGCAATATTTATCATTTACTTTGAAATAACATCAATTTCTTATGAGGGTCAAATTGACCCCAAATGGCGACCTTAGGTAAGTCCAAAATCCGGCTATTCTAGACTTAATGGTGCAGCTGATTGGAAAAGAATATAATCTACTTATTGAAAAACAACAGAATACATAATTCAAGAAAATTATTTCATAACATAAGCATTAGAATTGTACAATTTGTTTTGTAGTCTTGAAAAGCAATACTTAGTCAAAATTGATTAACGAGTTGAACTACTTTTTGTTTTTAAAGATAATCAATTCTATTTAAATCAATATTCCTAAGTAAAGAAATAACACTCTTCAAGATTGTCTTCATTCTTAATATTTTTTTAAAAATAGTATAAATGTATTATTATTATTATTTTTTCGTAAATGTAAAGTGCTGAATTTAAAATTAAAAACAATTTAATGCGGATTCTTCAAAACAAGTGCTTTATTTTCTCCATTGTCTAGACTTTCATTTAATACAATTTGACACAGTATTTAATTAATTGCCTTTTCAAGTTCATTTATTATTCTATAATATTATTAGATTATTCCGTATTTAAATTTACCAGTGAGGATAAATAGCATATTGAATGTGGTAGCCATTTTTTAAATTACAATAAAACTCAACAAAGTTGAAAACAAACAATCAATCTAAGGAAATATTAAAATATCGTTTAAGAAACCTGATAACGAATTTCATAATAAACAAAACTAAATAGTGCCTTTTAGAATTTACTGAATTCAATATCACGCAAAAGGATAATAGTTAAAAATTAAAATCTTATAAGTACTGATTGCATTTGTTTTTTACAAAAGCATATATTTCTAGAAAAAATTAGTGTTCTGGTTTTCAATTTTTTTAATAATGTTAAGCTTCTTCAAATTAGTTAAATTTTAAATTAAAAAGAAATACCTCACATAGATTTTGAATGATTAAAAAGATGACCATAAATGGCGGTAAAAAATCTTGATAAAAGGCGCCATTATTGCCCTATTATTGTGAAGAGATTACAAGCATGTTTAACTTTACATTTTGAGTAAAATCTTTAATAATTTAAGTGCGCTTGCTTAATGTCTATCTATCCCCTAGTTACAATTTTCTCAACAATTTAGACTACACTTTCACAAGTTAACGTATAAAACTGTGATTGTGAATTGCGGTCAACATAGAATCTCGAAACGGTGTACAGTGAAAGGGGGTAGAAACTTGTTTCGTGATTTTGTTCATTATATGGAAATCCAATTATATGAACGACAAATCTAAATTACCCGTAAAAGATCTTGGTGTTCCTGGAGTTCATTCTGGATGAGATGGTTAACTAATCCGGTTCTGGAAACCTGTTTTGCGATTTTGGTTCAACATGTCTTGTTTTCCTCTGATTCAATATATTTTGCTTTGGTCATCTTATAAACTTTCTTTTCGATAAAAACCATTCAATTTTAATGACGTTTTCAAATAGCGCTGTTGCTGTTGATGATTATTTGGTAAATATCTTAGAATCATGAGATTTTTTGAGAAAATTCACCTGCAAGTTCCACTTATTTGATACTCCAAAAAGACTTTTTACACATAAAAAATACTTCAACGAAAACTAACACGAAATCTAGAACGACAACTTAAAAATTTATAATGCCTACGAATATGAAAAACACTCTGTTTGGAAAGTGCTTTTCATTATTTGATTCATTCCCACGCCAACTCAAAAAGTGCTTAATTGATGAGTATTAATCAGGTCTATGAATTTTAAATTATATTTTAAGGAAAACGTTTTCAGGCATGAATTATATGTATAAATAGGGCAAGTTAGGATAAGATAGTCACACGTAGGAGATGGACATAACCGAAAAATATATATTTGGCGCATTAGGTTGTAACACAATGTAAGAGCAAGAGAAAATAGATTATATATACGTGAAAAAGTTGTAAAAATAGTTCAAGCAATGGCCCTTCCAGCACTGACGTGCAGAAAGAAGAGCAAATATAATTAACGGAGGGTGACATCCAATCGACGACTAAATGCACTAAAACTATGAATAATATTCGAATTTTAAACAAATTTTATAATGAAGTTTTAGATCTTTAAAAAAAATATTTTGTTGGAAATGAGGAAATGAAAGAAAAACTTCCGCATGCATTTACATAAAAATTAACTCAAAGTAGGAATTTATTTTTTATTAATGGATATCGTTCAGATGTTTTTATTTGCTTTTAATTTGTCAAGAGTTTCCGTTGGACACCCAACCCAATTTTGGGTTTATGACAATCAATTTTCAACTCAGCAGCCTTTTAATTTTGAATCCAATCGAGAAGACAAGAGAACTCCTGGATCAAGTATAGGGAGAAATTTGCCAGCATGGAGGACTTTTTGATAGAACTAACCTGCATTTGCGTCACATGGACAGGAATACCTCGAAAGACTCCCGCGGTTTGCCTAACGGCAAGAGGACTCTAACTCATGACCCGTCTAATACTGAGAATATATATACGGCAGCACTGTGGTCGGTGTGAGCCGGGTGTGGAATTCGTATCATCCAGCCATCACTGGGTTTCGAACCAGGTTAATATCATTGGAAGGTGAACGCTCTATCCTCTGAGTCCCAATAGCTCTTTTTATGTCATTTTATTTTATATTTTATAACCGTCGTTGAACAGCCAATTTAATATTTAGGGTTTACAACTACTAATATTCAACTCCATAGCCTTGTAATTTTGAACACAATCCGGAGGACAAGGGAACTTCGGAATCAAGTATTGAGAGAAATTTGCCTTCGTGGAGGACTATTGGATGGAACTATCCCGCACTTGAGTTACACGGAGAGAAAAACCAAGAAAACCTCCCACGGTAAACATGACTGCAAGGGGACTATAACCCATGATCCTCTACCACTGAGTATATTTTGCGTCAGCACTGTGGTCAGTGCAAAACTGCATTTGTTTATGGTTGTTATTTAATATTTTGAAAATAAATTTAAACTATGCCCCACTTATCCTATTACGCATAAACACATGGGGAGTCCAAAAAATAATGCCGCTGAATCGATAAATTAACATGTATTGAACCGATCTGAGCAACATAATAAAAATATTTAAATTGAGCTCCTGTCGTATAAGCATATCACTTTCAAACGAGATTTCCAGCCATGGATGGTGGCGCAGTAGGTTTCTAGTGCAAACTTCTTAACTTCGTTAATTGTGCTAATATATTGCCTTTCTTAGGAGTTTCCAACTGTTAGAATAAGAAGTCAGGTTGAGTCCCGTAGAAACTTTAGTGCAACTGTTGAACCGTTGGTATTTAGAATGGTTCAGAAAGCGGGAATTTTATTTTATAACCGTCATTGAACTGCCGACACAATTTTGAGTGTACGATTACCAACCTTCAACTTCTTAGCCCTCTTGAACTCAATCCAGATGGCTAAGACCTCCTGGTTCAAGTATTGGGAGAAATTTGCTTTCGTGGAGGACATTCTTAGCGGATCTAACCCACATTTGTGTTACATGAAGAGGAAAATTACTACAGCCTACCGCGGTTAGCATGACAAGGGGGCTCTAAGAGATGATCCGTGTGTCACTAAGGTTATTTTTCGTCAGCACTGGGGTTGGTGTGAGCCGGGTGTGGAATTCGTATCGACCAGCCATCACTGAAATTCGAACTCCGGGTCAAGCCATTGGGAGGCAAACGCTCATTCCCTAAGAAATCACGGCCCAGAAAGCGGGTATAAAAAATTTTGGAGCAATAGGGCCCGTTACTGCGAAATTTCCAACTATTTGCGATGTTATTTTTAGGACTCATTTTATTTATTTTTTTCTTTGCTTGTGGGTAATTAAGGATTAATTTAAATCTAGAATTTAGTCATCTACTTGCTTGATTTTTTTGTGCTTTTTTGGTTTTTTTCAGAAATTACCTTAAGCCGCCCATAGACTTGGCATTCCAATACAAAATATGACAAAATATCTTTATCTTAGAAAAACTATCTACTGCAAGTCTTGTTGTTGAGTTTTAACTTGTTTTTTATTTGCTTCTTAACTTTAACTTGTTGAGTTTTACAATAAAATTTATTTTAAGCTATAGTGCGTTGTAAGGTAGCTTTCACGGTAGAAAAAAATGAATTCTAAGAAAATGTCTGTCCTTTCTCTCCGGGAGGGCGAAGTCTAAGCGACAACGCACATCTACGTTCATCGGTTCTTTTANTTTATAACCGTCATTGAACTACCGACACAATTTTGAGTGTACGACTACCAACCTTCAACTTCTTAGCTCTCTTGAACTCAATCCAGAAGACAAAGAGCTCCTGGTTCAAGTATTGGGAGAAATTTGCTTTCGTGGAGGACATTCTTGGTGGATCTAACCCACATTTGTGTTACATGAAGAGGAAAATTACAACAGCCTACCGCGGTTAGCGTGACAAGGGGGCTCTAAGAGATGATCCGTGTGTCACTGAGGTTATTTTTCGTCAGCACTGTGGTTGGTGCGAGCCGGGTGTGGAATTCGTATCGACCAGCAATCACTGAAATTTGAACTCCGGATCAAGCCATTGGGAGGCAAACGCTCATTCCCTAAGAAATCACGGTCCGGAAAGCGGGTATAGAAAATTTCGGAGCAATAGGGCCCATTACCATGAAATTTCCAACTATTTGCGATGTTATTTTTAGGACTCATTTTATTTATTTTTTTTTGCTTGTGACTTACGGGTAATTAAGGATTAATTTGAATTTAGAATTTAGTCATCTACTTGTTAGATTTTTTTTTGTGCTTTTTTGGTTTTTTTCAGAAAATACCTTAAGCCACCCATAGACTTGGCATTCCAATACAAAATATGACAAAATATCTTTATCTTAGAAAAACTATCTACTGCAAGTCTTGTTGTTGAGTTTTAACTTGTTTTTTATTTGCTTCTTAACTTTAACTTGTTGAGTTTTACAATAAAATTTATTTTAAGCTATAGTGCGTTGTAAGGTAGCTTTCACGGTAGAAAAAAATGAATTCTAAGAAAATGTCTGTCCTTTCTCTCCGGGAGGGCGAAGTCTAAGCGACAACGCACATCTACGTTCAGCGGTCCTTTTACTAAAAGGTTATTTAATATAATGAAACAAATGTATAGTGATAAGGTTTGCTTTTTATATTACGGTAATTTTTTTTTACTTCAAATAAACTGAATAGTCACAAAATATTACCAGGAGTTTATTATCAATAGTTTAAAGCAAAATAGCAGAAGCAATACCAGAAGTTCAATAAGAAATTATACAAAATTTTAATAGTGAAAGAAATAATCGAATAAAGTCCATATGTTTGTCAAACGTTATAAGCTAAGAAACTGAAGAACATACTATCAAAAGATTCGAAAAACAAATATTTTGACAAAAAAAAAATCTATTTAAATGGTAGATAAAACTATAATTAAACATTTGAACAACGCTTCAAAAAGAATGATTTTTCGGATAAAAAAAGTTATACATTCAAGTTTTCATTTTTTATAATTTTTTCAGAAAGTGCTGTTGCCGTCCGTGCAATTGAAAAATCAACGTAAGCGAAAAAAATTCTGAATTGAGATTTTTATGTACTTGGCATCTATGTATGATAAGCTAAATGTTGAAAAAAAGGTTTTTCAAAAATACTTTTTGTTCTATCAGTTTTCTGAATTTACATTTTGGCGTTCATAGAAATAGAATAGAATGAATGGAATAGAATAGAAATTAGAAATAGAATGAAAATAGTTGTCAAGCCACTTTTCTCGAAATCTATCAAGAAGCAATTACGTTGTAATTTTCAATTGCACAACGGTATTCAACACCAGCTCCAACAAAAGTTATTAAGAATTTACGAATTAAGATTTAAGAATTTACACATTTTTATATTTTTACACTATGTCTATTATATAGTTGTACAATAGTTTCCAGTTCACTTAAGGTAAACGAGATTAAAAACATCAAAAGCTGTTTATTGTCTGAGGAAAAAGAGGAGGTGAAAATCTTAATTTTGAGACAACTTTCGAGTTTTATATGGTAATTAAACTGTTTATGTTCTTTTTTTATTCCACGTGACTCAGCAGTGATTAAAAGATTCGAAAAACGCGTGTTTTCTTCACTCGCTTTTATTTTCATCCATATGCTCACTTTTTTTCTACTTCATTCTTGACGCCGACTTTCAGTTGTTGTTGTAGTTCATTTACTACAGTTTTTTCTTAGTACGTCGCACTAGACCTGCGCAATGGGCTATTGGGGACGGTCTGGGAAACATCCGTGAGGATGATCTGAAGACATGCCATTACAATTTTGATCCTCTGCAGAGGGGATGGCACCCCCGCTTCGATAGCCCGACCACCTGCACGCGAAGTCGAGCACTTTGCGGTAGAACAGTTTAACGAGGACTAATACCGCACACCCTCGGTCCCTACGCGAACTGATCCAAGTGGTCACCCACCCGCACACTGACAGCAACCAGTGATGCTTGACTTCGGTGCTTTGCTGGGAATCGTGTCTTAACGATCGACCTGCGGGACCACCGACTTTTAGAATAATATTTATGGTGATGATTACAGAACACATTATAAGCATTTAAATTCTGAACAGAGCTTCATAATTGTTTATTACTCGAAACAGTTAAATCAATTTTAAGAAAAACTACCAATAAACATTTTTTATATGAATATTTACCAGATTTAAGTCTTTTAATAGCGTAAAAATATGTAAATTAGAAACCATTTTGCATACTTATGATATAAGATAAAATATCATTTCACTATAAAAGAATTTCATTAAATTATTAAATTGCGGTAAAAATCACTAGCAACCAGAGTGCAGCATCCATAAAATTCAATTTACTGTAAAATATATGCTTTATAACGTAATTTTTAGAGTAATATTTACCAATTACGATGATTTAGTGATTTTACAGAAATGTTACGATAAAAATTCGGTATACCAGACTTTTTTGTTCCATAACGCTTTACGGTAAATTTATATTTACCATAAGCTTTTATGCACTCAAAGTAGTTAGGGAAGTGATACACTTACATAAAAGCAAAATATTACGAAAAGAAATATACAAAATATGTAAATTGGAATTCACTGAAATTTTAAAAACAAAACTATTTATGAAGCTTTAATTTAAGTAATATAACAACATAGTACGTTATTTTAAATTGCACAATTAAATGAAAAAAAAATATTAAAAAAGCTATCTCAGAATTTAATTTTATCCAAAATTAATCCAGTCTGTTTAATATGACATTGAAAATTTTCCATTCATTTTCATTCATATTGATTTTTATTAAATAGTTATGTTGCTTTAACAACAATAAATAAATATTTCAAAGTTTTTTTGATATTTATGCAAAAATATTACAAATATATATTATTTAAGAAAAACTAATTAAAAAAAACAACTTTCAAGTAATTTAAAAAAAAAAATTTCTGAATACATAAAGAAAAATAATTTGAATTGAAAAAAAAATAATAATATATTCTAGAAATTAAATTTAATAACTTTTTATATCTAATCTCAATGCATGATATCGAAAATTTAAGTAGGCTACATCAAATTTTCTTTAAAATTTGCATTAAAAAAAAAAAAAATTCAAAAAAATTTTTACTTTTAAGAACAATATCTCTCTCATTTATTCAAAACTGTGTTCTTCTTTTCTAATCGTAATAAACAAAACTTAAAACCCATTTTATTTTTCTTTATATTCCATATTTTGAAAGAACGCCAAAGTTCAAACATCATTTATTTGTAATAAAAGAATTATGAAATAAACTTACCTCTTTTCGGTGCATAGATATTTAAATATAGGCAGTCCTCGCTTTGATTACTAAGGTAAGGAAGTAACTTCTTCAAATATTCCAATCTTCCGGGAGACATTCTTTTTAAAGCTTCTGTTTCATTTCTAACATCGGGCGGCTTTTGAGGGCAAACTGGCTTAAAATGATCAGCATTTTGGACACCCCTCCAATGCGCTGGAGTAACAGGGGGCATGAATCTCAATTCCGAAACAGGAGGACTTGCATATGGTACACCTAAAAATACTTCAACCGGTAGCAAAGTCTTGTTAGGAAGAGTTGCTATAAACCCTTTGAGTTCTCCGTATTTCGTTACAACAGTTCTAGTTCTTGGTTTTCCAGCAGAATTCAGATGATCTCCACCAATCAAAACATAAGATTCTGTAGTTGACGACTCTATACTAACTGATACCTTGCAAAACAACAAAGTTGCTAAAACTAAGTTCCATATTGCAACGGTCCGAATGCTTTCCGAGAATTTCATGCTTAAAAGATCTCTTTATGCTTCTTAAAGTCCGAAAAACTTCTTTAAAAGTTTTGTCCGAAATATTAAACTTTGAAAACTTTTTATCAAACGGCAAATAGATTCAAAAAAGAATCCATAACCATAAAAAATAAATAAAAAATATTTCTCCTCGGAGTTGTTATTTGCGATTATCGTCAATATGCATTCACATGGTGATGAACTTTTGAAGGAACCGGTGGAGGAGAAGAACGTGAAGTTTTAGAACGTTTTCTAGAGGGGTTGTGCTCCGCACGGAAGCCGAATTTCGTAAGCTCTCCCCATACCGCGAATTTGGAGATGGTGGCAAGCCGTAGCGCCCCCAAGTATAGGCGCGCTTGCGCGCTATTTGTGGTGAGTGGCTCGTCTATTCAAAGGCTCATACTACTTTTTGGACTTCTTCTAAATATAGAAAGGCACTTTGGCTCCAAATTGTCGTTTTTACCGAAAGATGATGTGGGTGAATTAGTTATTAAAGTTCAGGAGCGTTCCGCCTAATTTCACGGAGAGAAGAAATGAAAACATAAATAAGAAATTAAAAATACGCTGATGGAAATTTAGTGATTTAGTTTAAATTAATATCCCGGAATGAGATTTTTACGCGAGCCCAAAGAAACAATCTTTTACCTAATTACAAACAGATTTTTTTCGAAGTACCTTTAATCAAACCCGCTAGGAAGTGATTAAGGATTTTGTTTAAAAAATTCTTGAAGTACGCGACAATTAAATTACGCGACTAAATAAATTATACGGTTTGAACTAGTTTACTGATTTGTGTTCAACTACGCATAAAAACGCAAATGAACTCCTGAACTTGAAATATAGTTCTGAAATCTCGTTATTTTAGCTTATAGCTTAAATAAGAAATAAATTTGTTTCTTTGAAATCTAAACTTTGTGAAAAGAAAAAAGATATTTGAAAAAATAATTTATTCTAGTAAATTATTCAGTTAATTAAAAAGTATGATTACACTAGGAAAATTTTTTTTCTCTTCTGTTTTCTGATCGGTTTCACTTTTTTTTATCACATCTCAGATTTTTTTCTCATCTCTGATTTCGACGAATTCGGATTTCTGACCTCCTAAGTATAGGGGGTAGCCGCAATCTGGGAAATAGGGTTCCCATAGTTTCGTCAGGAGAGGGTTTAAAAGTTTAAACCCCTTAATACTAATTTTTTATTTCGCTATGTATAAAAACTTTTTAAGCGAATTAAAAAAATGAAGACACTTATAAAATTCGTTTGTCCAAAGGTATTGCAAAACAAATTTAGCATACATTTATTATTTTATTTAATAATAATTGGAAAAACTTTAAAATTTTTTTGCATCACTTTGAAGTATAAAATTTTACATGGCAAACTATAAATTTGAGAGAAATCGGATGAATAGTTCCTGAGAAATTGAATTTTAAGCATACGACTTCTTTGAATTTCGTAACTGAAAATATTATCTGCACTAGTTAATTAGCATATTTGAAATCAACCCCTCGAAACATGAATAATGAGACCAAGAACGTGAAGATCCGATCATTAGATCAAAAGTTATTCAGGGTGGTCCATTTTTTATTTTGCGTACTGTACTACCCTAATTATGTGTTTATTTCCTTTATGAAGAAATTTCCTCTGCAAGTGTTAGTGAGGTGAAATTAATAATTAACCGCTGCGTTCGGAGTTTAGACATGGTTCCATATTGTTCATACCATTTGAAACTTGGCTTATTCATCATGCGATATATGTGTCTTGTTTATCATACGATATATGTGTCTTGTTCATCATACGATAAATTTGTATTCTGGTTTACAATGCAATTACTATTCACTAACAGTTCTATCTCGCCTATGATTATAAAAATAAGTGTTTAGAATGAGGAAGGGTGTACATCAGGGATCCCCAACCTTTTTGTACCTAAGAGCAAATACCAGAATATCGGTCGAATGGCGGGCACCATTTATTTTTTCAGGATAAATGTTAAGTTGATGACATAGGTAATAATACACATTATACATATAATGCACAAACAGTTTAATTGAAAAAATTAATTTAACAAATAAATATAATTAGTATTAATATTCTTGTGCAAAATAAATGATTACTAAATTGCTTTAAAGACTTGCGAAGTATAAAATTTATTTATGAAATACAGTTAATGCGATCTTTGGCGTGGCATTTCGCTGGCCAGCGCTTCATAATTGGGACAATATGATGAAATTCCAGCTCGCAAGCAATCGTCAAGGTGTTCATATGTAAGTCAGGGTCTATATTTTATTTGACATTGTCAAAAACAATGATTCGCACAAGTATGTGGAACAAAGGAACGACTTTACTTTATTTGCAGCTCTTTTTAAGAATGGAATTTATTCCTTCAACTATATTCCAGAATTTCTCATCTAATATAATAGTTTCGAGGATAGCGTCATTCTGAAGATCCACAATCTTTTCAAATTGATCTTTAAGCAATTGGAGGTTGATGACAAATGTTGATAAGTCAATTTTTCATGTTTGGAAAATGCACAAGAGACTTCATTTTCAAATGTGATATCCACAAAACTAGCTTAGCTCTGAGCGAGTTTATAGCCTCTATCATTTTTGCTATGTTTGTCCTTTTCCTGCATCTCCAATTTTAAATTATTTAGTTTTTCCGTTATGAAAGACAAATGAGCCGCTCAGAAGCCAATGCGGTTAAGTTCATTTTTTGATATTTTCTGATTTTTGGAAATTTTGATGAAATAAATAATAATCTTCTTAGTTATTAAAGGATTTACTCGTTGGTTACTTTTTTCTAGGTTAGACAGCCCTTTTTTTAATAGCTTCTGAATATATTGCATAATAATTTCAGAAGCCATTGTGTATAAGTCCTCCTTTTATCAATATTTCTTTACATAAACTTTGAAATAAAAATTTAATTCTTCTTCTTCTTTCGATATTTGTTGGTAACACTGAAAAACAAGAAATTCATAGTATCAAGGTTGCCAGACGTAGTATTTTTAATACTACGGTAGTATTTTTTGACCAAAAGAAGGGGTATGGTATTTTTCGTAGTATTTTTTTAAAATGTGGTATTTTTATTTTTTTTTATTTTCATTTCCTAAAACAAAGAAAAGTGCCACTCTAAAGTGATGCAGACCAATCGACGGGCGCCATGGTACCCGCGGGCATAGGGTTGGGGACCACTGGTGTACATAGTTTCTTTCAAATGCAACATTGAATATATATTTCAATAAGAGCTCAACTAAGCGACTTCGAACACTAAATATAAGATACGATGTAATCTATTGTGGGACACTTTTTCTAACAGCGTGGGCATCAATTTTAGTTCTACAAATCATCTTTAAAAGGTTTGCAGTCTTGCAAAATCAATAACCTTCGAGAAACTTCAAAAATGAGCGTTTTTCTTTTCTGGGTCAGAATGACCCCTTTGGTTTCATTTAGATATATTTATGTTATTGATTTTAATGATCAATATAAATGCATGAAGTTTTGATATAGTATACTTAGAAATAATTTTTGAAAATTTAAAAATTATGAGCCTTGAAGCTCACGTTTATCTCCAAATATTAAATAAGAAAATGTCAAAAATGATCAAATTGATCCTAAAAGAGTTTCTAGTGTTAAAAGTGCCGTATATCTTGTTTTAAAGAAACTATCATCTAATCATTCTATATCGTGTATTATTTAAATGAGAACTTATCAATGCAAATTTTTATTTACTGTTTGAACTTTAACGCGCTTTAAAACATTACGCTTTTGTCACAGCTATAAATAGTTTTAACTCCTTAAATACAGTTTCAAGTAATTTTCTACACATCATTAAAGAGGTCACGAAACATTTTTAAGTATTGTAAAATGCATGTAAACCATGAACTCACATAAGCGTTTTCATATGTATAATACATAAGAGTTTGTGTATAATATTATAATGTACAGAAAAATTTAAAAATTCAAACATTTTCGGTTTTAAAAGTTAAAAAAAGTTGCGCTATGAAAAAAGTATCAAGCATTCAATTCAACTATCAAGCATTCAGTTATTAGTCAAATAAATCAGCTTAAATCTTCTAGTAAATTAACATGTGTCATTAAAACTTTGAACATCTGAACAATCAACAAAATGTGTAATCAAAATCGCTGGGTATTCAGAATCGATATTCTTGTAAATGCATGTTCTTCTTATATAAAATTGTCATACTGAAAATATTTCGTTGAAAATCTCGGCTTAATTGACTCGTATTAGAAATTTTCAAAAAAATGGATGCTTTGAAAGTTATCACTTATATTTAGAAAGGATTATTTAAAATAGCTTCTTTCAAAAAGATTTGTAGTTTCGGAAAAATAAAAACAATTTGTACTTAAAACTTCATTCCATCAAAAGACAGCTAATACTATTCGAAATTGGGTTTATATATCATTTCGAAAGGAATATACTTACCTTTCGAAAATTTTATTGGAAATAGTTTTTTGAGGCAGAAATATTTTCACATATTTTATACACAAATCAAAACACATTAAAATATATATTTATTTATCTTTTCTTCTTAGTTATTTAAATTCTCTGCAGAATGGTTTTCTACGAATAAAAAATACGAATATACGAGCCTTGTAAATCATAAACGAAAAACCATTTTGATTCTGCGTAACTAAGACTTAATACTTTATACAAGACTCTGAGCAATAATGCTTCACATCCTCTCTTCATGAATAAATTTACTTACCCTATCTCAGATAGTTTTAGGACAAATCTATGGCAACCATGAAATATCTACTTCCTGTTATAAACATAAATTTTGACTAACACGGATGACATATAGTAGATGAAGTCCTAAATCAATATTAGGTTGTTTATACTCGCCTACTTCACCAAACTATAGAAATTTGCTAAGGTAGGAAACTACTTAGATCTGAATAAGTTAAATAGCTATAAAACACGTACGCTGGAAGGATCTCGTTATGCCAAGGTATAGCAAGATAATGTATTTTAAACTTTTGAAAATTAAAATTCGATCTGCTTATGACACAGATTTAAGTGGTTTAGTTATGTGGTGCACATCTGATTTTGCATTGTTTTTTCAGGTTTAAATTAAGCAAAACATTATATCTATATATATAAGGAACTACATAATATAAATATGAAAAGTAATAAATAATTATAAATAAAAAAATAAGAACACGTGGATTTTTATCTGTAGGCCCGATTGTAGAAATGGTAAAGTCAAATATAGTACCATCTTCTAAAATTCAATGAAGTCAGACAGAAATTATGGTTGAAAAAATTAAGCTTA